CTTTTTGAGGAACTGCTAAACTCTTCCAAATTGGCAGCGCCATTTTACATTACAGTAGAGGGTAAGTTTATGCACAAAGATATTGATCACATTACTGTAATATTTAAAACTGGAAACAATATCCTAAATATCCAACTACAGAAGAAATGGCTACATAAGTTATAATGCATTCCAATTAGGAACTACTATAATGCCATTAAAAATTATGTTTTTGAAGAATACTGCCCACAATTTATATACTTACAGGTTTCTAAATTCCTTGACATGTGTGTTTTCAAAAGACATCTAACTCAATGCTTTACACAGATCAGAATCTTAAGTGTTTATTAAACGAGCTCAATTTAAAACTCAATAGCAGGGTTCTCTGGCCATTTACAGCAAACTACAAAATGCTACTTTCGTGTCTTCTGACTTAACCTGAAGCAAATAGAAAGTGCTGATGGCTCCTATGAGGGCAAACTAAAGTGAGAGAATAACATCAACTACATATCTAAGCAGATACTGCAGCCCCGCTCCTTCAAAACTGCTCTCAGTGTCCCACTCCATATACCTGGTAAAGACGCCAGCTGCTAGTCCAAAAGTGGTATCATTGGCTCTTTCTAGAACCTCAGCTTCAGTGTCAAATGATAAAATGGACATAACAGGCCCAAAGATCTCTTCTTTCACACAGGTCATGTCATCTCTGCAATTAGCTGCAAACATTAAAATAAAACCTCCTGAGTAGCTGGGACCACAGTGTGCACCACTACCCCCAGCTAATTTTTTGAAGATAGGGTTTCACTATATTGCCCAATCTGGTCTCAAACTCCTGGGCTCAAGTGATCCTCCTGCCTCAGCCTCCCAAAGTGCTGGGATTACAGGAGTGATTCACTGCACCTGGCCCCAATATTTTTAATTTAACAATGTATTTTAAGCTTTTCCTATTTATTAAATATTCATGTAATAACTGCAACCGAATTCATGGGATGGACATTAGGTTTTCAGCTTTTAAACATCAGTGGTTCTTTTTGGGGGGGTTAAAGGTTATATACTGCATCAAATATGAAGTTGTTAAAAACTGACACCACTATCAACCTTAGGGGCAAAAACCAGCTTAATTTATCTCCAAACAAGATGTAAGGAATTATACAACATGGTTCAACCTATATATAATTGTTTAAAGCCTACAAAACTACCAACATTTTTGTAGGGGATACTAACATACACTATAAAATGATAGAGAAAAGCGTAAGAATGATAAAACAACGTTGAGAATAGTAGTTATCTCTGAGGTAGGAGGGAAGTAGATGGGTGGGAGTAGGACGACCATATACACCTTGATTGTCAAAACTAGATTTTTAAGATTGAATGCAGGTACTAAAAATTATTAAATTATGTAATTTCTAAAAAGATTAGCATATTATCTGACAAACTGGTTTTATTATATTGATGACTGATACAGTTTGGATGCTTTTCCCCTCCGAATCTCATGCTGAAGTATGATCCCCACTGTTGGGAGGTGGGGCCAGTTTGGGTCACAGGGGCAAATCCCTCATGAACGGCTTGATGTCCTTCCCATGGTAATGAGTGCATTCTCGCTCTGTGAGTTCACACAGAGCTGGCTGTTTAAAAGAGCCTGGCGCCTCTCTTGCTCTCTCTCTCTCAACATGTGACTTGTCTGCTCCCCTTTCACCTGCCAGCATGACTGAAAGCTTCCTGAGACCTCACCAGGAGCAGATGATGGCGCCATGCTTCCTGTACAGTCTGCAGAACCATGAGCCAAACAAACATTTTTTCTTCTTACCCAGTCTTAGATATTCCTTCATAGCAATGCACAATGTCTAACACAATGATCTACAGGTCACATGAAAAACATTCTTTATTTTCTCAAGGAATTAAATTTATTATTTCATTTTTTTAAATCAAATAGGCACTTTCACATTTTGAGCTCCTTGCTTCCAGAACAATAGTTGTGGTCCTGGATAAACTAATACATATGGGTGCCCTAAAGGAGGGGCACACAGAAGGCTTCGAAGATAATGGAGTAGTTCTACTTCTTAAACTTGGGTAGTAGGACCACATAATTTGCTAGCCTTTGCTTTATACCATGTACATATTTTATAAATATTCATCTCTGTCCATTCAGTATTTAATTCAAATAATCTAAAAGCAAACAAAAAGAGGACATACTTAATACACAAGGTCTCATGTAATATCCATCCTTTAATTTGGGATCTTCAGGCACATATATATCTCCACCACATAACACTTTAGCACCCTGCCGAAAAGGAAAAAAATATTTTGCATTAAAAATACAACCCCAAAATGCATTCCTGAAATGTTAATTGTATCCCAAACAAACTCGTA